GGGAGGCCCAGGACCAGTTCAGACGAGCCTCACCTGGTGTTTGGCCGTGAGGGGAATAACGCAAAGACGCATAGGGGGCGTCCATAAATGACGTCACGCGATTTTGGACGATTTTTGACCCCCCCCCCGTCACACGGCGTCACAAAAAGTCAGACCCCCCCCCTCTCAAATATGACGTCACAAAGCTCTGCCCCCCCCCCCAAAAACATATTTCCATTTTGAAAATAAAACATGCTTCAAATCGCTTTAAACTATTGTCTTTGTAGTGCGTATTTAATGTGGCGTTGCACTCTGATGTTGTAGGAGAAAACATTTCTTAAAAAGTCTATTTAATTAAGTAGAACGTGTTGTCTATATTTTTTAAAGTTGCGCATTTTGATGTGACGTCACATTTCTCAAACCCCCCCCCCCCTCGTCACACATCGTCACAAATGTCTGACCCCCCCCCCCAGGTGCGTGACGTCATTTATGAACGGCCCCAAAGTGCACCTAGCCTGGCACAAACTGCATGCTAACGTCATCGCCACTTAGTGGCGGTGATTGGCGGCTGTTGTTGTTATTGTGTGTGTGATGGCGTGGTTCTGTCCACCCCAGTGTGACGTCATTTATGGACGGCCCCATACACACTCACCCCATCACACAAAGACAAAGATCCCACGGACTGTTGGGGCAAGTGCTGTTAGCGAGTAGCATCTATGCAGGCCGGCACGGCACACAAAGGCATGGGTGGCCAGCACCACGCCATCACACACACAACAACTACAGCCCCCAATCACCACCACTAAGTGACGATGACGTAGCATGCAGTTTGTGCCAGGCTAGGTGCACTTTGAGGCCGTCCATAAATGACGTCACGCACCTGGGGGGGGGGGGGTCAGACATTTGTGACGATGTGACGAGGGGGGGGGGGTTTGGGAAATGTGGACGTCACATCAAAATGCGCAACTTTAATAAATATAGACAACACGTTCTACTTAATTAAGTATACTTTTTAATAAATGTTTTCTCCAACAACATCAGAGTGCAACGGCACATTAAATACGCACTACAATGACAATAGTTTAAAGCATGTTTTTTTGGGGGGGATGGGGGGTGGCTAGAGCTTTGGTACGTCATATTTGAGGGGGGTCTAACTTTTGTGACGCCGGTGACGAAGGGAGGGGGGGTCAAAATCGTCCAATGTCGCGTGACGTCATTTATGGACTGCCCCTTTGAGGTGATGGGATTCAAGTGTGAAAAGGCTCGCTGCTGGCAGGAGGGTCAACCGAGATGACTGGCAGATGCACCACCTGTGCTCGCCACTGTGCCAACACACACACTGCACACACACTGCACGCACACACACTGCACACTGCACACACACACACACAGCACACACACACACTGCACCCACAACACACACTGCACACACTGCACACACACTGCACCCACACACACACACTGCACACACACGCACCCCACAAACATACACTGCCCACACACACACTGCACCCACACCACACACTGCACTACACACTGCACACACACAACACACAACACTGCACACACACACTGCACACACACACTACACCCACACACACACTGCACACACATACTACACCCACACACACACACTGCACACACACACTACACCCACACACACACACTGCACACACACTACACCCACACACACACACTGCACACACTGCACCCACACACACACACTGCACCCAACACACACACTGCACCCACAACACACACTGCACCCACACACATACACTGCACACACACACTACACACACACATGCACCCAAACACTTCACACACAATTCACAGACACTTCACACACACTTCACACACACACACTACACACACAATTCACACACACTGCACACACAATTCACACACACTTCACACACACACACTGCACACACAATTCACACACACTTCACACACACACCACTTCACACACACACACACTGCACACACACACTACACCCACACACACACTGCACACACATACTACACCCCTACACACAACACACTGCACCACACACTACACCCACACACACACACGCACACACCTACACACCCTACACACCCAATGCACACACTGCACCCACATCCACACACACTGCACCCACACACCACACTGCACCCACACACACACACTGCCACCCACACACAACACTGCACACACACACTACACACACACACATGCACCCAAACACTCTCACACACAATTCACAGACACTTCACACACACTTCACACACACACACACTACACACACAATTCAACACACTGCACACACCAATTCACACACACTTCACACACACACACTGCACCACACAATTACACACCACTTCACACAACACACACTTCACACACACACACACTGCACACACACACTTCACACACAATTCACACACACTTCACACACACACAACTGCACACACCACCACACACTGCACACACACACTGAACACACTTATCACACACACACACTGCACACACCACCACACTGCACCCACCACACACTGCACACACAATTCACACACACACACTGCACATCCAATTCACACACACTGCACACACACACACTGCACACCACCACACACACTGCACACACACCTGCACACACAATTCACACACACACACTGCACACACCACACACAACACCGTCACACGGCAGCATACGCCACCAAACACCACAATATAGCTGTTAGTGAACACCTCTTATGGGGTGGGTTGCCAGCACCAACGTGCCTCGACCACCTTTGCCTCCCCCAGTGCGATGTTTACACCTCATTTGAGGCTGAGTCTACCAAGGGGAGGCCCATGACCGGTTCAGATAATCGTCAAAAGTGTCGGCCGTGTGTTGGGAATCGAACTCGGGTCAACTGGTTCGTAGCGCACGTGGCGCTAGCCATTGCACCCACCGCTCCCCATAATACACCACACACACACATCACCCACCGCATCACAAAACACAGATGGGACCTCACCAAACACCCCACACACCACACCATCACCACAACATCATGCCGCCATACCAAATATCGCCACACCAAACACCGCCACACCGTTTTCACACCAATTTCCACCACACCATTCCCATCACACTAATGCCGAACCAAATCTCACCACACCATACCCACCGCACCAATCCCACCGCACCATTCCCATCACACCAATGCAGCACCAAATCTCACCACTCCATGTCCACCGCACCATGCCTGCCACACCCCGCACATGCAGCCCGTGCAGTACTGCATGTTGACCACGGGGAGATGTCGCGATGGTGACATCAGCTCGTGTGCAGGTGCTGCGTGGATCGTGCACACATCGCGGGCTCGTGAGAGCTGGCGGTGGACTGGTGGGGGGAGGCCTTCATCCAGCAGGGGAGTGACCATGGCTGATGATGGAGGTGGTGACGTAGAACATCTCCCCCATTTATGGGGCTCACTGCGCAAAGGAGACCTGAACCAGGCTGCCCCCCCCCCCTCCCAGGGTCTCCTCTCAGGGTCCCCCCCCCTCCCAGGCCCCCCCCCAGGGTCCCCTCCCAGGGCCCCCCCTCCTCCCAGGGTACCCCCCCTCCCAGGGTCCCCCCCTCCCAGGTCCCCCCTCCCAGAGTCCCCCCCCCTCTCCCAGAGTCCCCCCCTCCCAGGGCCCCCCCCTACCAGGGTCCCCCCCCCCCTCCAGAGTCCCCCCCTCCCAGGGCCCCCCCCTCCCAGGGTCCCCCTTCCCCTCCCAGGGTCCCCCCCTCCCTTCCCTCGAGTCCTCCCCTCTCCTCGCCGGGCAATGCATCTAGGCGAGGCCGCGGTCGGAATCGCGGCCTATGAAGGTGGTGCCCCCCACCCCACCCCCCACCCCTCACTCTCGTTCCCTCTCGTCCCCCTTCCCCCGCTGGGTCCCACTGGGTCCCCGCTGGGTCCCGCTGGGTCCCCGCGGGCAGCAAGGGAGTGGGGAGCGGGGGAGACTCACCCTGAACACGAAGAAATGTTTCACTTTCGCCTCCTTGGCAGCGGTCCTCGGCCCCGGGGTGATGGTCTCGACGCGAAGCCTCGTCACCGTGGAGACCACGGTCCCCCGCGGGCCGCACGGGACCCCCAGGACCCCAACGCCCCCACGCCACGGGGACCGCTCGGGCTCCCCTTCGGGATCGGTGATGGCGAGCCGCAGTGAGCTGGCGTGGAACGGGGGCTCCTCCGCCTCCAGGAGACCCCGGCAAGGGGGCCCCGTCAGCTCCGAGTCGCTGCCCAGGTCGATGTCCAGTTCGGGGGTTCGCAGCTGAGGGGGTCCGGACCCCGACATCGCGGCCGCGAGACGAGAGCAGCGTGAGGTGTGCAGGTGACGACGGGGATCTCCTCTCTCCCCTACGGGAGGACGCGGTGACACAGTGCGCCCAATAGGCGTACACACGGGGCGCTTTTACAGAGTGCGCCCAATAGGCGTCTACACGGGCGCTTTTACAGAGTGCACCCAATAGGCGTCTACACGGGCGCTTTTACAGAGTGCACCCAATGGGTGTCTACACGAGGCGCTTTTACAGAGTGTACCCAATGGGCGTACACACGGGGCGCTTTTACAGAGTGCACCCAATGGGTGTCTCCACGAGGCGCTTTTACAGAGTGCACCCAATAGACATACACACGAGGCGCTTTTACAGAGTGCACCCAATGGGTGTCTCCACGAGGCGCTTTTACAGAGTGCACCCAATAGACATACACACGGGGCGCTTTTACAGAGTGCACCCAATGGATGTCCACACGGACGCTTTTACAGAGTGCACCCAATGGGTGTCCACTCACGGGGCGCTTTTACAGAGTGCACCCAATGGGTGTCCACACAGGGCGCTTTTACAGAGTGCACCCAATGGATGTCCACACGGACGCTTTTACAGAGTGCACCCAATGGGTGTCCACTCACGGGGCGCTTTTACAGAGTGCACCCAATGGGCGTACACACGGGGCGCTTTTACAGAGTGCACCCAATGGGTGTCTACACGGGGCGCTTTTACAGAGTGCACCCAATGGATGTCCACACGGACGCTTTTACAGAGTGCACCCAATGGGTGTCTACACGGGGCGCTTTTACAGAGTGCACCCATGGGTGTCCACACAGGGCGCTTTTACAGAGTGCACCCAATGGATGTCCACACGGACGCTTTTACAGAGTGCACCCAATGGGTGTCCACACGGGGCGCTTTTACACAGTGTACCCAATGGATGTACACCCGGGGCGCTTTTACAGAGTGCACCCAATGGACATTGTGTGCACTCTGGCGCTGCGGTGGCGAGATGTCAACTACCTCGCCTGGGATGCAGGAGGTCGTTGGTCCGTTCCCGACCCTGACGATGCCTCCTATAGTAATAGGTTTTTACCCTTTCAACTGGTACAAAAAACTGACACCTTTATACAAGGCATCATGTTTGCAATAACCACAACACAGGCAGTCAAAATGCAAACAAAAATAAACAACTCTGATAATGATAATGATATGCACTGTCCTTGAAGTTGATTGGTCCACACCCGAGACAGCTTTTCTTAGAGCCTAGTCTCCATTGGTGTTGGACCAGTGACGCCAAAAGGAGTACAACTCAAAGACAGCGCACTATCAGAGTATTGAGTGCATATCATTATCATCATCAGAGTTGTTTATTTTTGTTTGCATTTTGACTGCTTGTGTTGTGGTTACTGCAAACATGATGCCTTGTATAAAGGCGTCAGTTGTTGTACCAGTTGAAAGGGTAAAAACCTATTACTATATTTTGCCACTGGTAAAGGAGGTCTCATAGTGATGCCTCCTATATATTTGGAGTTTGAATATTCGCCCCATGGTCGCGTGGATTTTTCTCCGAACCCTCTGGTTTTTCCCTCCACATTTCAAATCAACACGCGTGTAGAGGATTTGGCTGCAGGATAGTCCCACGTGATGATATTCACCTCGTTGAGCTGTCATTTGTGGCCAGTTCGCTACGCAGCTCAATGGGCCTTGGTAAAATGAAAAAAAAAGTTAAACTCTGAACTAAAACTAAACAAATTTTATTTTACCAGGTAAGGCCCACTCATCTACATAGCTCTTTTTCAGAAGCGACCTGGCCACAAATGATAGTCCAATAAAGTGCCTTATTATCATCGTGTATGGCAGGCAACTACTCTAAACGATTGATGTTGATTCTAAATGTGGAGGGTAAAATCGGAAGACCCGGGAGACAAATCCACGCGACCACGGAGAGAGAGACACCGCAAACTCCAAATATACAGCAGCAGCAGGCGTCAGGGTTGGGATCAAACCCACGACCTCCTGTACACCAGGCGAGGTAGTTAACATCTCCTAGCCACCGTGATGATGATGAGAGAGAGACACGCAAACTGCAAATATACAGCAGCAGGCGTCAGGTTCGGGATCGAACCCACGACCTCCTGTAGACCAGGCGAGATAGTTAACATCTCGCCGCCGTTTGGGTGGCAGTAATTGACGCGTGTAGAGACCGGATGCTGGCATTGTGTTGAAACTTATTGCAATAAACTGTGAAATGTTGATAGACCTTGGCCGACCGAGAAATCTGTCTGGGTTTGGTCTGGTGGAAAGGGCGGTGACTCTCAATCACTCACTCACACGCTCACCAGCTCACTAACCATCTCCACTCACCCACTAACCCGCTCACCCACTAACCCACTCGCTCATTCATTCTCCAAGTCGCTCGGTAAGTCACCCACGAACTCACTCACTTAAATCGCTCACCCGTTTCATCCACCCACTCCTCATTTTCATCATTCACTCGTTCATTTTTTTCGAGTCGCTCAATTACTCACCCACGACGGTGGCCACCTGTCTTGGTGACCCTCGCAGTGCTCCCTGGGAAACACGCCCGGGGCTTGGTCAGTGAGAGGGGTGGCGAGCAGCCCATATCGTGCCCACTATCACCACCACCACTACCACCACCACCGCTACCACCACCACTACCACCACCACCACTACCGCCACCACCTAACACCTAGTAGGCAGAGGTCGCAAACGGGTTTTGATTCCTTACCCGTACCTGTACCCGGCCGCACCAGGGTTGCAAACGGGTACCCGTACCCGGCCGGGTACGGGTACCTGTACGCTACCCGTACCCTACCCGAAATGAGTGACAAACGGTGACTCACCGGTGACTCAGGGTCGCAAACGGGTACCCGTACCCGTACCCGTACCCGGCCGGGTACGGGTACCTATACGCTGCCCGTACCCTACCCGAAATGAGTGACAAACCGTGACTCACCGGTGACTCACGGCCTACCCGTACCCGTACCCGGCCGGACCAGGGTCGCAAACGGATACCCGGCCGGGTACGGGTAGCCGGGTATCGGGTAGGGTACGGGTATCGGGTACCCGGTTGTGACCTCTGCTAGTAGGCCTTTGAGACCAATATTATCCATAATAGAAGGGTTTTTTTGGGTTAGATCGCGTAAATATCTAAATGTGTCGTTCAACCCGCCACCACCCGACACAGACAATCAGTAAGGTTTGTCACGTAAACAGAACGTGGCCAATTCGTGACTCGTACAGCACTAGCCGGTTGTGTGTTGGAGAGAACACCCACAACGTTAACAATTCAAATCTGGCTGTCGCCTGATGAAGCTAGGTGTAATTATTGGTGAAACGTCGTACTCAGATTGTAAATGTTGTGGCTTGGCTCTCCAATACACCGGTTAGTGCTGTATTAGTAACGAATTGGCACGTTCTGTTTACGTGACAAGCCTTACTAATTGGCTGTGTCGGGTGGTGGCGGGTTGAACGACACATTTAGATATTTACGCGATCTAACCCAAAAACCTCTATTGTGGATACCAAACACAAAGTACCCCCGTATAGCCTCAACAGACTGTTGGGGCAAGTGCTGTTAGCGAGTAGCACCTACCAAGGCCAAAACGGCACACGAGGGGGTGGGTGGCCAGCACCACGCCCAGCCGCCTTTGTCTCCCCAGTGGCGATTACTTTACGCACCGCACCAGGTACTCATTTAAGTCTGAGTCGACCTAGAGGAGGCCCAGGACCGGTACAGAAAATCGTCACTGTGGTTGGCCGGGAATCGAACTCGGGTCGCCGGGTTCGTAGCGCAGCCGGCTGACCGCTCCTACACTACCGCTCCCCTATTACGGATACCATCACCACCATCACCACCACCACCATCACCACCATCACCATCACCACCATCACCACCATCACCACCATCACCACCACCATCACCACCATCATCACCACCACCATCACCACCATCACCACCATCACCACCACCATCACCACCTTCACCACCATCACCACATTCACCACCACCACCACCGCCACCGTGATACAGCGAAGGGTCCGGGCACGGGAGCTGAGTACAAAAGGCGAATCTTTATTTGGTCCGCGCTGGACTCCCGGTCCTGCAGAAACTCGCGTGACTCGACACCGCACAGCGAGAACACAAAACTCAACGGCGCATCCGGACAAACCCGCCAGAGGTGGGTGGGGGGAGGGGGCGGTACGGATCGAGTCCTGTGCGAGGCCACTCCGTGGTAAGGAAGACGACGACCCGAGGAGTCATCGCGGGCCAGGGGTGGGATGTTGGTCCTCACCTAGGGTCTGCCACCTGTCCGGAGAGCTGGCGTCTGTGTTTGGGGGGCGGGAGAATTTGGTCGGCACCGCTGGTCTTGGTGTTGAACTCTTACCGCAGGAGACTGCACGGTTACCGATGGTCGACCTCGTGCTGACGGAGAGATCCGTCTGTGGTTCGTTCTGCTGTGGGGAAGCTGGTGGGCCCTCACCCCCCCCCCACCCTTGCGATAGGCGATAGCGCCCCACGAGTATTTCCAGAATGACCCGTGCCCAGGTGGGACACCCAGGTGGATGCTCGCCACGTGGCTTATCCCCCAGATGAGAAGTCAAATGCCAATTATCCGGCGAGGCGACCAGACAGATTGAACGCCCTGATCCCAAATGCTCAGATGGACTGGACATCCACGTACCAACCAACCAGATGTCTAACCAGATGGGAGTGGACATCTACAAAGCAACCCGTCAGAGAGCTAACTGAATGTGAAAGGAGTTATCAGCTCGTCGGACAGATACCAACTGTAGTGGAATTTTAAATTTGGGTACAATGCGTATCGGTCACCGTGCCCCCCCCCCCGCCACCCCGTCCTGGCAGCAGACGAATGCCCGCCTCGCAGGGCCGGATGCCGAGGTCGCCGCGTGGCGCACGGAGACAGCTGACACTGGGGGTGCCCTTTTCAAACAACGAAGACGAAGATGATGGAGACAGCCCCCCGCGTAGAGCTACAACGAACGCAAATCGTCGCGACAGGTATCATGATAGAGGTACCGAGATGGACGACCAGATGTGTGATATCCAGGAAACCAGATGGACAACCAGATGTGATCCAGGAAACCAGATGGACAACCGGATGAGTGATAACCAGAGGTACCCCAGATGGACAACCAGATGTCTGTGTTGCAGGAAAATTAATGGACAACCGGATGAGTGATAACCAGAGGTACCCCATATGGACGACCAGCAGTTATCTGTCTTCGTGGTAACCAGATTGATACCCGGACGCGAGCGCTAGCCACGGATACCCCGGATTATTTGTTTGTCCAGATATCGGGACAATATCTGGAAAAGGCAGTCGGATGGACACAACCAGACAGGCGCCCGCCTCAACATCGAGGGACCCGCCGATGTCCGTCGCCGCCCGCCGCATCGAGCGTCTGCCCTCGCAGGCTCCGCGAGTCCCGGAGAATCAACTCTCAGAACAATATTGTTGGGGGTTTCTTTCTCTCTCGCTTTCTTATACTCGTATAGAAACTGGCAGCGTTGGAGCATCAAAGCACGATACAGGGGGTGGGGGACTAGCGCGGTCTCCCACGCGGGTGCAGCAAGCGAGGGAGGGGGGGGCGGTGAAGCAGCTACCGAGTGCGCAGTCGGTGCAATCGCACCGGGGCTCCACGGGGGGAGGTGGTGAGGGGGGGGCGAGGTGGTGAGGGGGGGTGAGGTGCCAGGCTTACGAAGAGGCTTGCGGGGGGGGGGGTGTAATATGGGACAGGGATGGGCCCCCATTGGACTCGTTGCAGCCAGGGGCCCGCGCTGAGCTCGCTGCTTGGACCCTGCAGGTTCACGTGACACCTGAACACCCTAAAAGTCCCCCCTGTGTAGCCTAGACTCTGACCCCTGCCCCAAAAAGACTCTGACCCCTGACCCCTCACTCTACAGACTCTGACCCCTGGCCCTATAGACTCTAACCCCTGACCCTACAGACTCTGACCCCTGACCCTACAGACGCTGACCCCTGACCCTACAGACTCTGACCCCTGACCCTACAAACTCTGACCCCTGACCCCACAGACTCTGACCCCTGACCCTACAGACTCTGACCCCTGACGCTACAGACTCTGACCCCTCACCCTACAGACTCTGACCCCTCACTCTGACCCCTGACTCGAGGCCGTTGTCCTGACCCGAACCCAGCCCAGCACCCGAAGTGCACAGTCAGGACCCAGACCCCCTGGAGAAAGGGGACCTGCAGAGCCACGATCCAACCTGACCCTCATCCCATCGGACCCCCGGGGTTAACAAGAGGATGTTAGGCGCTTGCGTGCAGTCTTTGGCATAGTGAGTGGATAGGGGGGGGGGGGGTACGAAGGAGACGCGGGGAGACGCGGGGAGACGCAGGGAGACACAGGGAGACACGGGGAGACACGGGTGAGACACGAGGATATACGGGGAGATCCAGGGAGACACGGGAAGACATGCGGGAGATACTGAGAGACACAAGGAGACACGGGAAGACACTGGGAGATAACGGGGAGACACGGGAAGACACGGGGAGACACGGGAAGACACTGGGAGATAACGGGGAGACACGGGAAGACACTGGGAGATAACGGGGAGACACGGGGAGACACTGGGAGATAACGGGGAGACACGGGGAGACACCAATCCAGGGACTGATACATTGCATAGGACCACTGCATGTATGTGTACACGTGTTACTGTGCGTGTGTGTGTACAGGTGTTACTGTGCGTTTACAGGTGTTACTTTGTGTGTGTGTACACGTGTTACTGTGTGTGTGTGTACACGTGTTACTGTGTGTGGGTGTGTGTACACGTGTGTGTATGTGTATGTAATGTGGGTCCAACAAATTCCCCCCCATAGGATCGGCCAGTGTGTGTGCATCTATGTATATCTTGTGTGTGTGTGAGTGTGTGTATGTGTGTGAGTGTATGTGAGTGTGTGTATGTGAGTGAGTGAGTGTATGTGAGTGTATGTATGTATGTGAGTGTGTGTGTGAGTGTGTTTATGATGAGAGAGGCTGTGGGCCAGCCAGACCGGGCCGGGCCTGCAGCCGCGAGTCGCTGCACTGGAAGCAGAGGATGTGGCCGTCCAGCGGGAAGCAGCCTCTCTCCTTGCCCTCCGAGGGGGACAGCACCAGCCCGCAGTCCTGCGTCACGGGGACACGCACGGAGACACACGGGGGACACGCACGGGGACACACACGGGGACACACACGGAGACACACAGAGACACACACGGAGACACACACGGGGAGACACACGGAGACACAGAGACACGGAGACACACACGGGGAGACACACGGAGACACGCGGGGACACACACGGAGACACACAGAGACACACACGGGGAGACACACGGAGACACACACGGGGAGACACACATGGGGGGACACACGGAGACACACACGCACACACGTGGAGTCAACAGACTGCTGGGGCAAGTGCTGTTAGCGAGTAGCACCTAATGAAGGCCGGCACGGCACACGAGGGGGTGGGTGGCCAGCACCACGCCCGGCCGCCTTTATCGCCCCACGTGGTGATGTTTACGCACCGCACCAGGTACATACAATGTTAATGCTGAGACGACCTAGGGGAGGTCCACAGTTTGGGTTGTGTGTCCACAGGTCGCGGCCACTGCGGCTTCAATTGTCCCCTGTATGGACGAGGGGCGGCATGGGCCTCGTGGTGACGTCCCGATGCGGTGGGTGACTCCACCAGCGGTGCGGTGGGTGACTCCACCAGCGGTGTCTTCGAGGAGGAGGAGGAATGTCGTAGCCAGGCGGTGGTGCGATTGATGTTTGTTTCTCGAACGAGGAGGTGTTTATTGTTTTGGACGTCCACATTGTTCCACTCCGTTCACACAGCAGCAGCAGAAGAGCAATCCCAGGAGGCATTGCAGTGGCTAGGAGATGTTAACTCCCTCGCCTGGTATACAGGAGGTCGTGGGTTCGATCCCAACCCTGATGCCTGCTGCTGTATATTTGGAGTTTGCGTCTCTCTCTCTCTCTCCACGCGTGGATTCTTTCTCCGGGTCCTCTGGGTTTTTCCCTCCTACATTTAGAATCGACGTCACACGTTCAGAGTATTTGCCTGCTGTACATTTCCACGTGATGACGATAAGCCACCTCGTGGAGCTATCATCTGTCATGGCCAGGTCACTTCTGAAAAAATATCTACAGAGCTCAGCGGGGACTTACCTGGTAAACAAATAAATACAAATCTGGGTGGTGGGGAGCGGTGGCGCAGCGGTTAGCGGGCAAACCCGGCGACCCGAGTTCGATTCCCGCTCGCGGCAACCAACCCAAAATCTGAACCGGCGGTGGGGGGGGGAAGAGTGGCGCGCCAACAGCACTTGCCCTGGTGAGGCCGCGCGGGCTACGCGGGGGGCCTTTGCCCGCGCTCACCTCGCACTTGTAGCAGGCGACGTGGAAGCTGCGGTCGAGCGCCACGACGCGCAGTGTCTCCTTCTCGCCGGGCGCCGGCACGATGGCCTCGCCGCACACCGAGCAGCGCGGGGCAAACTTCCTGCACGCACCGTGAACACCGCACGCACCACACGCACCGTGAACACCGCACGCACCACACACACCGTGAACACCGCACGCACCACACGCACCACACGCACCACACACACCGTGAACACCGCACGCACCGCACGCACCACACGCACCGCACGCACCACACGCACCGTGAACACCGCACGCACCGCACGCACCGCACGCACCACACACACTGCACGCACCGCACGCACCACACGCACCGCACGCACCGCACGCACCACACACACCGCACGCACCACACACACCGCACGCACCACACACACCGCACGCACCGCACGCACCACACACACCGCACGCACCACACACACCGCACGCACCACACACACCGCACGCACCGCACGCACCACACGCACCGCACGCACCACACGCACCACACGCACCGCACGCACCACACGCACCGCACGCACCACACACACCGCACGCACCACTCGCACCACACGCACCACACGCACCGCACGCACCACACGCACCACACGCACCACACGCACCGCACGCACCACACACACCACACACACCACACGCACCACACGCACCACACGCACCACACGCACCACACGCACCACACGCACCGCACGCACCACACGCACCGCACGCACCACACACACCGCACGCACCACACACACCGCACGCACCGCACGCACCACACGCACCGCACGCACCACACGCACCGCACGCACCACACGCACCGTGAACACCGCACGCACCACACGCACCACACGCACCACACGCACCACACGCACCGTGAACACCGCACACACCACACGCACCACACGCACCACACGCACACACCACACGCACCGCACGCACCACACGCACTGCACGCACCGCACGCACACATGCACCACACACACCACACGCACCGCACGCACCGTGAACACCGCACACACCACACGCACCGCACGCATCACACGCACACATGCACCATATGCACCGTAAACAACGCGCACAATGCCACACGCACCGCGCCTTACACACCACACAGACGCACCACACACAAGCACCGCTCCGTACACCTCCCACACCACACCACACATGCACCGCACCATACACTCCACACCACACACATGCACCGTACACACCACACACATGTACCGCACCGTACACTCCACACCGCACCATACACTCCACACCACACACATGCACCGTACACACCACACCGCATCATACACTCCACACCACACACACGCACCGTACACACCACACCGCACCATACACTCCACACCACACACATGCACCGCATCGTAAGCGGTCGCTATCCACTAGGGGTCGCTATCCGCCTGGGGTGGAGTGAGTGAATGGAGCTTGCACGTTCTGCCCCTGTCCCACACAACGGCTTTCCTCTGGAGTCTCAATCCTCTTCCCGGAGCTGAGCGCACGGTGTGAACGGCTATCGGCCAAAAAAACGTCCCCCAACGCCGAGACATCATCCCCTGCAAAGTAAACTCGAGGGCAGCGGTCGGGAACCTATGGCTCGCGAGCCATATATGGCTCTTCCAGTGACGGCATATGGCTCCCAGACAATTTTGAGTTGAAAAAAAAATCAGTTTGGACTGATTTTAAAATACTTGTGATATTGCTTAATAATACTGTGTCATTTTAAAGTAAACAGAAACTAGTTTTGAAGATAAATTTCACGGGTCACGCCTGCATGAAGCTCAACCTCACCACGTATGAACCAGACTACAAAGGCCATCAGCAAAACCATGCAGCACCAGAAGTCGCATTAAAAGTAAGACATATTAAATTTATTATACGTTAAAAATACTATATGGCTCTCAATGAAATATATTTAGAAATATTTGGCTTTTATGGCTCTCCCAGTCAAAAAGGTTCCCGACCCCTGGGCTAGAGGGATCACACAGTGGCAGCATCGCCCCCTACCGATACAACCTGGCAGGACCCTCCCGAACCAAGGGGCTCTTGAGACTCCTGGGTGAACACGTGGGGTGATGATGATGATGATGCTGATGATGATGCGAGCGAGGCCTTCCTGGGTGAACACGTGGGGTGATGATGCTGATGATGATGATGCTGATGATGATGATGCTGATGATGATGATGCTGATGATGCTGAAGATGATGATGCTGATGATGATGATGCGAGCGAGGCCTTCCTGCTTCTCGGTTGTGTGATCGTGCGGCGATCGTGGCTGTGTGTGGTTGTGGTGACCGTGGTCGTGGTGGTGGTGGTGGTGGACCTGGTGATCGTGGTTGTGGTGGTGACCGTGATCGTGGTGGTGGTGGTGGTGATTGTAGTGGTGGTGATCGTGGTGGTGGTGGACCTGGTGATCGTGGTTGTGGTGGTGATCGTGGTGGTGGTGATCGTGGTGGTGGTGGACCTGGTGATCGTGGTGGTGGTGGTGATCGTGGTGGTGGTGGTGGTGATGGTGATCGTGGTGGTGGTGTTCCCGGTGATCGTGGTTGTGTGTGGTGGTGGTGATCTTGGTGGTGGTGTTCCCGGTGATCGTGGTTGTCCGTGGTTGCGGTGACCGTGGTGGTCCTGGTGATGGTGGTTGTGTGATTGCGGTCATCGTGGTTGCGCGATTGCGGTGATCGCGGTGATCGTGGTGATCACGGTTGTGCGACGGTGGCGGCCGCAGCGGCGACTGTGCGGTTTGCCTGTGGAAATCCTCGAGGCAGTGCACGCGGTTGGCGGAGCACACGGTGAAGGGAACGCCGTCCAGGCTCGTGCCGCACTCGGAGCACGCGAAGCACGCCGGGTGGAAGGCGCGCCCCGTGGCGTGCAGGATGCGGTTCACGATGGCCTCGCCGCACACGCTGCAGTGCTCCAGCGTCTCCTGTCGCACGGGGACACGGGGGAGCGCACGGGGACACGGGGGAGCGCGCGGGGACACGGGGGAGCGCACGGGGACACGGGGGAGCGCGCGGGGACACGCGCAGGGGAAACACGAGGGGAGACATCAGGACAAGCAAGGGGGAGACACACAGCGAGACAAGGGGAGACGCAGGGGGAGTGCGGTGTGTCAACATCAGCAGGAGAGAGGCAGCATCAGCCCTGATGTGTGATCCCGGCTCTGACCCCGGCTGTGACCCCGACTGTGACCCCGGCTGTGACCCCGACTGTGACCCCGACTGTGACCCCGACTGTGACCCCGGCTGCGACCCCGACTGCGACCCCGGGTGTGACCCCGACTGTGACCATGACTGTGACCCCGACTGTGACCCCGACTGCGACCCCGACTGTGACCCCGACTGTGACCATGACTGTGACCCCGACTGTGACCCCGACTGTGACCCCGGCTGTGACCCCGACTGTGACCATGACTGTGACCCCGGCTGTGACCATGACTGTGACCCCGGCTGTAACCCCGACTGTGACCATGACTGTGACCATGACTGTGATCCCGGCTGTGACCCCGACTGTGACCCCAACTGCGACCCCGACTGTGACCACGGCTGTGACACCGACTGCGACCCCGACTGTGACCATGACTGTGACCCTGGCTGTGACCCCCACTGTGACCCCAACTGCGACCCCGACTGTGACCCCGACTGCGACCCCGACTGCGACCCCGACTGTGACCCCGGCTGTGACCCCGACTGACCCCGACTGTGACCACGACTGTGACCCCAACTGCGACCCCGACTGCGACCCCGACTGTGACCACGACTGTGACCCCAACTGTGACCCCGACTGCGACCCCGACTGTGACCCCGACTGTGACCCCGGCTGTGACCCCGACTGATCCCGACTGTGACCCCGACTGCGACCCCGACTGTGACCCCGACTGCGACCCCGACTGCGACCCCGACTGCGACCCCGGCTGCGACCCCGGCTGTGACCCCGACTGATCCCGACTGTGACCCCGACTGCGACCCCAACTGCGACCCCGACTGCGACCCCGACTGCGACCCCGGCTGTGACCCCGGCTGTGACCCCGGCTGTGACCCCGGCCGCCGGGGGCTGACCAGGTAGCAGGCCTCGCACAGGTGCCCCACGCCGGGCGTGCTGTAGAAGGGCAGCCCCTGCAGGCGCCGGGCGCAGGCGGCGCACGTGAAGCAGTGGACGTGGTGCAGGCGCTGCTCCGCCACGCAGCCCTCGCCACTCACGGGCAGCCCGCATGACACGCACACCCCTACACACACCAGCGCACATGTCAATACCACACCCCCTACACGCACACCCCTACACACACCAGCGCACATATCAATACCACACCCCCTACACGCACACCCCTACACGGACCAGCGCACAGCGCACATATCAATACCACACGCCGACACGCACACCCCTACACGCACCGCACCGCAAGCCTCACCGCGCCACCAGTGCCACCACAGAGATTGATACCGTACTCGCACTGCACATGGGCCTGCACACCGCGCAGCACACCACCACACTGCCACACACAACCACACCGCACACAACAGACCCCGCTCACCGCCCCCACCGCCCGCACTCACCCAGGGGTTCGTCCGCGGCGGCAGCCTCACCCTCACCCTCACGCGCCTGGGGGAGGGGGGGGGGTGAGGGGGGGTGAGAGGAGGATGTCAATGGAGATGTTCTCCTTTCACGATCCACTGCTGGATGAACGCTTCCCCCTCCCGGGGGGGGGGGGTGTTTGACCGTACTTCACCGCTCCGGTCCGTGCAGGGTTGGCGAGGGGGAGCACCACCCGTGGGGGGGGGGGGGGGGTTGGTGGTGACGTAGTGCCAAGGTGGCTATGACATGTTAACTACCTCGCCTGGTGTACAGGAGGTCGTGGGTTCGATCCCGACCCTGACGCCTGCTGCTGCTGTATTTTTGGAGTTTGCGTGTCTCTCTCTCATCATCATCACGGTGGCTATGACATGTTAACTACCTCGCCTGGTGTACAGGAGGTCGTGGGTTCGATCCCGACCCTGACGCCTGCTGCTGCTGTATTTTTGGAGTTTGTGTGTCTCTCTCTCATCATCATCACGGTGGCTAGGAGATGTTAACTACCTCGCCTGGTGTGCAGGAGGTCGTGGGTTCGATCCCGACCCTGACGCCTGCTGCTGCTGTATTTTTGGAGTTTGCGTGTCTCTCTCTCATCATCATCACGGTGGCTAGGAGATGTTAACTACCTCGCCTGGTGTACAGGAGGTCGTGGGTTCGATCCCGACCTTGACGCCTGCTGCTGCTGTATTTTTGGAGTTTGTGTGTCTCTCTCTCATCATCATCACGGTGGCTAGGAGATGTTAACTACCTCGCCTGGTCTACAGGAGGTCGTGGGTTCGATCCCCATCCTGACGCCTGCTGCTGTATATTTGGAGTTTGCGTCTCTCTCTCCCCGTGGTCGCGTGGATTTGTCTCCGGGTATTCCGGTTTATCGATCCACATTTACAATCAACGTCACATGTTCAGAGTCTTTGGCTGCCAGACATTTCCACGCGATGATGAGCCCACTTCGTTGAGCTATCATTTGTGGCCAGATCGCTGCTGAAGAAGAGATCAGTGGGCCTCACCTAGTAGAGTAAATACACGCACTTTAGTTTAGTAGTTGATAAGACGTTGGACGTGGCCGGGAATCTAACTCAGGTTGGCATAGCGCAATGCGCTAACCGCTGCGCCACCACTCCGCCGTGGATATGTTACGTTCGGAGCTAAGGTGAGTTCAAAATGACGCCGAGGCTGAGACAGCCCGGGTTCCAATCCGGGTTTTAGCTCCAAACACAGTGAGCAATCACCTAGGGGTCTCATAGTCTCACACACAGACCCATAGACTCACACTGAGACCCATAGACTCACACACAGACTCATAGACTCACACACAGACTCATAGACTCACACAGAGACCCATAGACTCACACAGAGACCCATAGACTCACACAGAGACCCATAGACTCACACACAGACCCATAGACTCACACACAGAGCCATAGACTCACACAGAGACCCATAGACTCACACAGAGACCCATAGACTCACACACAGACCCATAGACTCAGACAGAGACCCATAGACTCACACACAGACCCATAGACTCACACAGAGACCCATAGACTCACACAGAGACCCGTAGCCTCAAACCGAGACCCACAAACCCACACAGATCAATAGACTCACAGAGACCCACAGACTCTCATAGAGACCCACATACTCATTTGGCGACGCTATTAACATGGCCCATTGCAGCTGCGAGCAATACTTGTGCTGGCTTGATAGACATATCCGAACATGCTCTGCACTTATCTAACAACGGCGGTGTCACGGAGTTTATCCAGAGAACGCGACACGAGTCGCAATGACTCTTGTTCAGCCAGGGAGCTGCTCCAGCTGCTGCTACTGCTGCTGCTGCTGCCACACCGTGCGTTTATTGACTTAAAGATGTTTACAGCCGATGAATGACGAGTCGTCGTGTTTATTATGCACGTGGGGGACAGGAGGAGATCGGAGCACCCGGAGACAACCCACGCCTCGCGCGAGGGGGCAACGCTCTATCCCCACCACCCTGTAGAGATGGAATGAACAGGTGGCGATGATCCCACTTGCTGCACTGCCTGCTCCTAGCGAGCCGCGGGAAGGGAGTTCCACATCATCTGTGTGTGATACACCAACCCCACCTCCCCCCCCCCTGCTGCCTCCACAGGGCGGTGGGTGACTACGATGGGCAGTCACGTGCAGAGTATGGGCACCACCACCACAACCACTACCACCAGCACCACCAGCACCACTACCACAAGCACCACCACTACCATAACCACCACCAGCACCACCAGCACCACAACCACCACTACCACCACAACCACCACTACCACAAGCACCACCACCACCATCACAACCACCGCCACCAAAGACTAAGATCCCCCGAATAGTCTTAACAGACTGTTGGGGCAAGTGCTGTTAGCGAGCACCTATTAAAGCCGGCACGGCACGCGAGCGGGTTGGTGGCCAGCACCACGCCCGACCGCCTTTGTCTCCCTCGTGGCGATGTTTACTACACACCACACCGGGTACTCATTTGAGACTGAGCCGACCTAGGGGAGGCCCAGGGACCGGTTCAAACAATCGTCACCGGCGTCAATGGCCGTGAGCGGTCACGTGGGTTCGCGACCTCAGCGCAGCGCTGTCAGCGGCCTCTCCCGCGCGCGGCAACCCGCACTGACCAGCGCGGGGAAGTATGGCCGAGATCACCCCCACGGCGCGAGGGACGGGGGGCATCCATCCAGCAGTGGATCTACCACGAGGCTGCGTGCGTGGCAGGAGAAGTGCGTGGATGGGTGGCGTCTCGCCCCCCCACCCCGCCCCTTGCCGACCTCCCCTCCCCATCATCCCCTCCCCGTGGTCCCTGGTAACAAGGGAGCGTCGCCATGGCAACGCACGCGTCAGGGCGTCACGGAGACGGCGGCGGCGTCGTCGCTGCGGCCCCGGGGCGACTGAACCCGGTGGCCCCCGGAGACCACGCGAGACAAAGGCGCCCCGTGTAGCCTCAACGGACTGTCGGGGCAAGTGCTGTTAGCGAGTTGCAGCACCTGTGAAGGCCGGCACGGCGCACGAGGGGGTGGGTGGCCAGCACCACGCGCCCGTCCGCCTTTGTCTCCCCAGTGGCGATGTTTACACAGATGCACCGGGTACGCATTTGAGGTCGAGTCGACCTAGGGGAGGCCCGAGACTGGCTCAGATCGCCAACTGAACTCGGGTTGCCGGGTTCATAGCGCGGGTGCCAAGCGTTCTGCCGCCGCTCCCCGCGGTGCGTGTTTGTGTACACGAACACCAACAACAACACCAACAACACCAACAACAACAACACCAACAACAACAACACCAACAACAACACCAACAACACCAACAACAACAACAACACCAACAACACCAACAACAACACCAACAACACCAACAACAACAACACCAACAACAACAACACCAACACCAACACCAACAACACCAACAACAACACAACAACAAACAACAACAAAACAACACCAACAACAACAACACCAACAACACACCAACACAACAACACCACAACAACAACACCAACAACAACACCAACAACACACCAACACAACAACACCACACAACACCAACAACAACACCAACAACACCCACCAACACAACACCAACAACAACACCAACCCAAACCAACAACACCAACAACAACACCAACAACAACACCACCAACAACAACAACACCAACAACACCAACAACACCACCAACAACAACCCAACAACACAACACCAACAACAACAACACCAACAACAACACCAACAACAACACACCAACAACAACAAACAACACCAACAACACCAACAACAACACCAACAACAACAACAACACCAACAACACCAACAACAACAACACCAACAACAACAACACCACCAACAACAACAACACCAACAACACCAACAACAACACCAACACCAACAACACCAACAACACCAACAACAACAACACCAACAACCCCAACACCAACAACAACACCAACAACAACACCAACAACAACACAAACAACAACAACACCAACAACAACACAAACAACAACAACACAAACAACAACAACAACACCAACAACAACACAAACAACACCAACAACACCAACACCAACAACAACACCAACAACAACACCAACAACAACACAAACAACAACAGCAACAACAACACAAACAACAACAACAACACAAACAACAACAACACCAACAACAGCAGCAGCCGCCGCCGTTCGCCACTAACTGGCGGTGACGCCACTACGGCATTTTGTGCCAGGCTAGGTGCACGTTGAGGCCATGTGGAATGTGAAAGGCTCGCTGGCAGGAGGTCACAGGACAGCCCCAGGTGCCATGGGCTGATCGACTGAGATGGCTCGAAGATGCACCAGCTGTGGACCATATTGTCCCAGTTTGCTGTATTTTATCAGCCCAGCGATCCGCTCGTTGTTGTGAGCGTCGCTCCTCTGCCCTCTGCTCTTGTTGGAGGGCGACTGCCTCCAACTGCCCAGTAGCGTCCTTCACGAGCCTCCTCCACAGAGGCCGATCTTAACACTTGACCAGGTCAAGAAAGCAGAGATGTAGGTCCTGTTGAAATTCCCTGCACCTCTGCTGTAGCAGATGGACAGAGAATTTGGCATCCGTGCAATATCACCCTGGCTTGAAACCACATTGGGGCTCCCTAACATTCAACAAAGACCAAGATCCCCCGTATAGCCTGAACAGACTGTTGGAGCAAGTGCTGTTAGCGAGCACCTATGAAGGCCGGCACGGCACAGGAGGAGGTGGGTGGCCAGCACCACGCCCGGCCGCCTTTGTCTCCCCAGTGACGTAGTTTACACCCTGCACCAGGTACTCATCTGAGGCTGAGTCGACCTAGGGGAGGCCCAGGACCAATTCAGATAATCGTTACCGATGGTGGCCGTGAGCGGGAATCGTTCCCGGGTCGCCGGGTTCGTAGCGCAGCGCGCTAACCACTACACTGCCGCTCCCCACACACAAACATGCACACACACGCACACACACACACACAAACACGCACACACACGCACGCACACACACGCACACACGCACGCACACGCACGCACACACACGCACACACGCACACACACACACAACAACAACCGCCATTCGCCACTAAGTGGCGGTGACGTCACCACGACGCTTGTGCCAGGCCAAGTGCACCTTGAGGCCACGTGAAGTGTCGAACGCCCGCTGGCAGGAGGCCACGGGGCAGACCCAGCAGGTGCCACGGGTCGACTGACCGAGATGACCGAGATGACTGGCTGATGCACCACCTGTGCTCCCTACTGTGCCAACTTGCTGTGTTTTAGCCACCCGGCACTCCGCTCGTTGTTGCGCACACGCACACACACACACACACGGTGCCACCCCCATCCGCCACTACCACTGGACTCACCTTTCCATGCTGCACAACTGGGACCACCGCATCAGGAGGCACTGCCGATCCTCCACCGTGGGCCCCTCCTCCACCGTGGGCCACTCCTCCACCGTGGGCCACTCCTCCACCGTGGGGACCTCCTCCACCGTGGGCCCCTCCTCCTCCAAGGACCCCTCCACCTTGGGCCCCTCCTCCACCGTGGGCACTTCCTCCACCGTGGGGACCTCCTCCGCTGTGGGGCCCTGCCTGGGCGTGCTCCTTGGGCTGGGTGTGGAATTGGACGTTGAACGCCGGGCGGCTCGGCGTGGCCTCCGCCGAGAAGCCGGAGTGGACGTCCGCACTGCCGGCGGGCCTCGCCGTGCCACCACCTCCCCCTCCAGCATGCACTACCGCACCACCTCCACCAGCATGCACTACCGCACTTCCACCACCACCACCACCATGCACTACCGCACCTCCACCATGCACTACCGCACCACCACCTCCTCCTCCACCATGCACTACCGCACCACCTCCACCATGCACTACCGCACTACCACCACCACCACCATGGACTACCGCACCACCACCACTACCACCGTGCACTACCGCACCACTACCACCATGCACTACTGCACCACTACCACCACTACCACCATGCACTACTGCACCACCACCACCACTACCACCATGCACTACCGCTCCACTACCACCACCACCACGCACTACCGCACCACTACCACCACCACCATGCACTACCGCACCACCACCACCGGCAGCTCCCACCACTCCCATGACGGCGGTGCCACTGAAGCGGGCCCCGCTGCCAGCCGCCCCTCCAGGGCGGGGCACAGCGGCCTGGTTGGGCCCAGGAGAGGCCTCACTCGACTTGATCTGAGTGGGGCCCTGGGAGGGTTTGGAGGGAGTCACGGGGCCCTGGGAGGGTTTGGAGGGAGCCAGGGGAGCCTGGGATGGTTTGGAGGGAGCCAGGGGAGCCTGGGAGGGTTTGGAGGGAGCCACGGAGCCCTGAGAGGGTTTGGAAGGAGCCACGGGGCCCTGGGATGGTTTGGAGGGAGCCACGGGGCCCTGGGAGGGTTTGGAGGGAGCCAGGGGAGCCTGGGAGGGTTTGGAGGGAGCCACGGGGCCCTGGGAGGGTTTGGAGGGAGCCACGGGGCCCTGGCCGTCCCCAGCAAACACAGCGTGGGACGTCACCTTGGCCGCCTGTAACAGACACGCAGAAGGAAAAGAAGAATCATTGTTAACATTGGTAGCCGGGCGCCCGGCGGCAATTGGCGCCACCGTTTGCGAGAGCACGGGGAGATGGTCACTCATGGGGAGGCGCCCTCAAAGGTGCTCCGCGCTTGCAGCACTTTCCCCAACAGCCTCTTCAACAGGGGGATCTTTGTACCCACGTGTGTGTGTGTACACGTGTGTGTGCACGTGTGTGTGTGTGTAGTCCGGCAAAACAACCCCCAACCTCCTCGCGGTGCCGGACGGGCAACACTGTCGTGGACAGTGCTATGGGGGGAGGGCCAATGCCCATTGGCCTCTCCCCTAATGGCGTCTGTGACCACCACAGTGGCTAAACGGGGGCTTTGGACGGGTGCGAGGGGTTGGTAACCCTTCCACCTTCAATTCATTACCACGAAACCACGACTTAAACATAAATATGTAACTAATAAGCTTGTGCCGGAGGCCCTGGGGGAACAGGCATCTATGACGTCTCCTGGCCAAACCCCAATTAGCGGAGCCAGGAGATTGAATCTTCACCCTCGGGGCTCCTCCAGAAACAACAAAAAACCATTGCGGATGGCCACGTGGAATGTTCGAATGCTCACTGCGGAGGAGAGGCTGCCACTCATTTGTCGGGAGCTGGACTGGTACCGCCTGGATCTCTGTGGCATTCAGGAGGTCCGGTGGACCGGTTCTGGCTCCTGCCACCATGAGGGGTGGACAGTTCTCCACTCGGGGCAGGAGACTGCCAAACAACAGGGTGTGGCTCTTCTTCTGAACAAAAAAATGAAGGGGGCGTGGGAGCATGGCGGTGAGGTGTGGCAAGCTGTAAGCCCCCAGGATACTTTGGGCTCGCCTTCCCATCAACCGGAGGCGAGGAGTGGTGGTCGTGGTAACTTATGCCCCCACCGAAGATGAACATCCGTGGAGGGATGCAGGCAAAGCCGATGAGTCAAATGCCTTCTATGACCTCCTGTCACAGGTGCTGGCTAAAGTGGCCACTCGGGACAGAGTCATCTTGTTGGGTGACTTCAATGCCCGAGTTGGTCATGATGCTGGCACCTGGTCTGGAGTGATTGGAAGGCATGGGCCAGATCAGCTCAATAACAACGGTAGGAGGCTGCTAGATTTTTGTGCAGCCCATGGGCTTGTAATTACCAGCACACTCTTCCGGCATCGGCGCATCCACACAACATAATGGTTGCATGCCGGGTCCAAGCAAGAACATCTGCTGGACTACATAGTGACGGACCAGCGGATGCGAGCCCATGTCCTTGACACCAGGACCTACCGTGGAGCTGATCTGCCCTCTGACCATCGACTAGTCATCTGTAAGATGCGCCTGCCATTCTTCCACTCCGGTGGTGGGTGTACACCCAGGACCCCATTCCAACCAAAAGTGGCCTGGTCTCAGTTAGCTGATGAAAGTTGCAAGCGAGAATTTCATCATCGCTTGCAGCTGGCGTTGGCATCGTCTCCCACTCCTCCTGATGTCGAGGGTAAATGGGCGAGGTTTAGGACTGTGACTCATGCAGCTGCAATGGCTGCTTTGGGTACGTGGTCCAGACCTCCCCAGAAACCCTGGCTGACAGAGGAGGTGTTCAGGAGGTTCGGAGAGCCGTAAGGCGCTGCAAGGATGGGTGGTGGTCGCGGGTTGCTGAGGAGATAGAGTCTGCCTCAGTGGCCCGCGATCACAAATCACTATTTAACTCCATCAAAAAAGTAACCTGCAGCGCCACACCTATTACCATCATTAGGGGAAAAAACGGTAATCAAATCTCCGACCCCCAGGAACAGGTTTGCAGATTTGCTGAGCATTTCTGTGAGGTCCTGGGGGAGGGGAAATCTCTCAGCCAGAAAAACATCATGGCACAAAGTGGGGATAACCCTGCTGAGGCTGCGGTGCCTCAAATATTGGTAGAGGTCACCCCCTGTGAGTGGCTGGCTGAGGTGTCATCTGTTGAGGAAGTTCTGAAGGCGATCCGGAGTCTGAAACCAGGGCAGAAATGATCTCCCAAGAGAAATGCTGAGGGAGGGTGGCGTTTGTGCACAAACTGCCCTATATGACATGATAACAACAGTCTGGACCACTGGACGGGTTCCGCAGGATTGGAAGGATGCCCTGGTGGTCCCCCTCTTTAAGAAGGGGGACCGCACAGACTGTAATAAATACAGGGGCATCTCACTCCTCAGTGTTCCAGGAAAGGTCCTGGCAAGGATTATTCAACATCGCCTTGCTCGGCACGCTGAGGAGAGGCTTGTGGAGCCCCAATGCGGTTTCAGGAAAGGGCGGTCCTGCACAGATTCCATATTTTCTGTCCGTCTGCTACAGCAGAGGTGTAGGGAATTCCAACAAGACCTACATCTCTGATTTATTGACCTGGTCAAGGCCTATGATACCATCAGTAGGCCTGGGCTTTGGGCTGTTCTTCATGCTTTCGGAGTCCCTGACCCTCTGCTCACGATCATTAAGGACCTTCATGATGGTGAGAGGGCCCGGGTATAACTACGTGGCCGGGAGTCAGAGCCTTTCCCTGTACACCTTGGGGTGCGACAGGGATGTCTGCTGGCTCCCACATTATTCAACATCTATTTTGACCACGTAGTTCGTGAAGCCTTCAATAGCTGTACCGGGGGAATTTCCATTTGGTACAGATATAATGGGAGGCTGATCGACACCCGGGTGCGATCAAGAGATGGCTCCCTATTGGTCAACCACGTTATGTATGCTGATGATTTGGTAATCGCTGCTCATTCAGAAGAGGAGTTGGAGACGCTGCTGCTGAGACTGGAGCGTGCCACTAAGAGGTGGGGCCTTACCATCAGCCCCACCAAAACGAAGCACCTGCCTGGGTATTTTGTACCATCGGACACTCCACCCCCACAACTCCCAATCGGTGATGGGGCAGTAGTGGAGAGAGTGGAGAGTTTCCCATACCTGGGCAGTATACTTATAACCGGCTCCAGTTTAACAGCAGAGGTCTCACTCCTAATCAGTCGAGCGGCAATATATTTTCATCAGTTGCATAACGCTGTGTGGAAGCTATCTGGTCTGTCGCTCCGCACGAGGCTTCAGGTCTTCTCGGCCACAGTCATTCCCTCCCTTCTCTACGCTTGCGAAACGTGGAACCCCTTAATGGAGTATCTTCGCCGGTTAGAAACATTTAGGCTGGCCTGCCTACGATCCATCCTGGGTTTAACCAGGCTGGATTGTGTGAGGAGCTCACAAATCCTTCAAAGATCTGGTCAAAGTCCCATCGGTGAGCTCCTCCGGCAGGCAAGGCTGCATTGGCTGGGTCATGTAGCCCGCATGCCCAGCCACCGCATGCCTAAACAGCTTTTGTTCGGCCGAATCGAGGGGGCTAAACGGGCGCGGCACGGGCTAGAGAAGAGATGGAGTGATGTGGTACAGGAGGACGTGGAGCTGAGTGGACTTGCCGATGACTGGTACCAGCGTAGTCACGATCGGCCTCAGTGGAGGAGGCTCGTGAAGGATGCTACTGGGCAGTTGGAGGCAGTCGCCCTCCAACAACAACGGAGGGCGGAAGAGCGACGCTCACAACAACGAGCGGAGCGCCGGGTGGCTAAAGCACAGCAAGTTGGTACAGTAGGGGGCACAGGTGGTGCATCAGCCAGTCATCTCGGTCAGTCGACCCGTGGCACCTGCTGGGTCTGCCCCGTGACCTCCTGCCAGCGGGCGTTCGACACTTCACGTGGCCTCAAGGTGCACTTGGCCTGGCACAAGCGTCGTGGTGACGTCACCGCCACTTAGTGGAGAATGGCGGTTGTTGTTGTTGTGTGTGCGCGTGCTTGTGTGTGTGTACACGTGTGTGTGTGTGTACACGTGCGTACCTGCCACCCGCGTGGCTCCAGTGGAGCCAGGCTCTCCATCTCGGCGATGAGGCTGTTCAGCTGATCGATCTCCACCTCGATGCTCGACTGCTTCCCCAGAGGCTGCTTCTACAAGACAAAGACAAAGATTCCCCCCGTGTAGCCTGTCACAGACTGTTGAGGCAAGTGCTGGTAGTGAGCACCTACCAAGGCCCACAACGGTACACGAGAGGGGTGGGTGGCCAGCTGCCCACGGCAGCCTTTGTCTCCCCAATGCTGATTTTGATTGCACACCTCACCAGGCACAAGGCTCGGACGACATAGGGGAGGCCCAGGACCAGTTCAGATGTTCGTCACCCTGAGCCGGAATCGAACACGTGGACAGAGTCCTAAACACGTGCGTGCTGTGCCTGTCTCCCCGTGTCTCTCCTTTATCTCCCCGTGTCTCCCCTGTATCTACCCGTGTCTCTCCTTTATCTCTCTGTATCTCCCTGTGTCTCCTCGTGTCTCTCCTTTATCTCCCTGTATTTCCCTGTCTCCCCGTGTCTCTCCTTTATCTCCCTGTATCTCCCCGTGTCTCTCCTTTATCTCCCTGTATCTCCCTGTATCTCCCCGTGTCTCCCCGTGTCTCCCCTTTAAATCCCCTTTATCTCCCTGTATCTCCCTTTATCTCCCTTTATCTCCCGCTCCGTGCCTCCCCGTGTTTCCACCCCTCCCCCCCCCCCCGTGTGTCTCCCCTCGTCCTCACCGCGATTGGCGACACGACCGGAGGGGGCAGGGGGAAGCCCCCCGGGGGAGACACGGGGCCCCCCGAGACCTCCTCCTGCTCCTCGCACGGCGGCGGTGGCGGCGGTGGGGGGAGGTCACCTGGTGGTTGGGGTGAGCGGGGGAAGGAGCGGGCGAGAGGGTGTCAAGTAGGGGCAGAGGAACAACAACTCTCGGGGCAGATACGGCCCTCGAATTCATTCCACAAGGCCCTCGAATTCATTCTGCACGGTCCGCGACTTCATTCGGCACGACCCATGATTTCATTCCGCACGTAGCCGCGACTTTATCCCCCCACCCATCTCTGGTGTTAGCCCAAGCACGCACTTCCCCTTTGCGTGGGCCACAGTGGTGGGCAGGGGGAGGAGGGGCAGCCACCCACCCCCCGTTTCCACCACCGACACGACCACAACCGCAAATTCCTCCACACGCAGCAGCAATTTCCCCTGACCCACGGCTTGTGCCTGCGCCCTCGCACAGAGGCTCTATCTGTCTGCACAACGCTGGCGCTCGCAGCGATGGGGCAGTGGGAGTGCGCAGGGCGGTGCGACTGCGCCAGGGCATAACGGCCGGATAAGGGGGGGGGTCCAAATAGCCCTTCATTTCAGTCTATGCACCAGGGCCCATGCCAACCACGTCACTCTACTGCACCACAGAGACCCACAAACTAACACAGAGAAGCTGTAGACTCACGTTAAACACATCGACTCGCATGGGACCTATAGACTCACGCAGAGACCCAAAGCGACGCACAGAACTGATCGCTATACCCATAAACCCATACTGACCCACATATAGACCCATAGACTCACATAGAGACCCATAGACTCCCACAGGGATGCATCGACTAATACAAAAACCTCGACTCCCACAGAGACCCACAGACTCACATAGAGACCGATAGATTCACATAGAGACCCATAGACTCACACATCAACCCAAAGACTCCCATAAAAACCTAGACTCCCACAGAGACCAACAGACTCATATAGAGACCCACAGACTCACACAGATACTCATAGGCTTGCTTATTGGCGCATAGACTCACAACAAAAAGTCAATAGACTCCCATACAAGCTATATACTCAAAGAGAGACCCACAGAGACTGGCAAGGCCTACATAGACACCTTCTCCACAGAGGAAGCCCAGGCATTAACTAAACTAAAAACGATGAACTATTTTGTATTCTACCAGGTAAGGCCCACTGAGCTATATTGCTCTTTTTCTTAAGCGACCTGGCCACAAATGAATTTTCTTCGATTACAGCCACATACTGATGATGTTGTTGATTCTAAATGTGGAGGAGAAAAACCGGAGGACCCGGAGAAAAAATCCACGCTACCACGGGGAGAGAGAGACCGCAAACTCCAAATAAACAGCAGGCGTGAGGGTTGAGCATCAAACCCATGACCTCCTGTGTGCGAGGCAAGGTAGTTAGTTAACATCTCTCCGTCGCATCATAAGCAGGGCACTTAAACTGACACCAATCCCCTGGCTCCCTGTGCCGGGGAACATTCTTCAACCAAATATCCGAGGCCCAGGACCGGTTCAGATAATCGTCACCGGTGTTGGCCGTGAGCGGGAATCGAACTCGGCACGCCGGGTTCGTAGCGCAGCGTAGTGCTGACCGCTACACCGCACACACACACGTGCACACGTGTGTGTGTGCACGTGCGCACACACATACACACACACACGTGCACGCATGTGCACACACACGCACGTGCACACACGCACGTGCACACACACACGCACGTGCACACACGTGCACACACACACACGTGCACACACACGCACGTGTACACACACACACGCACACGCACGTGCACACACACACGTGTACACACACACGTGCACACACACACACACGTGCACACACACACACACGTGCACACACACACACACACGTGCACACACACGCACGTGCACACACACGCACGTGCACACACGCACGTGCACACACGCACGTGCACACACACGCACGTGCACACACGCACGTGCACACACGCACGTGCACACAAACACGCACATACACACACACACACGCACGTGCACACACACACGTGCACGCCCCGTCAGGGAACAACAACCGCCGTGCCCGTTCTCCGCGGCACGGCGGGCGGATCGGGTTCGTGCCGAGGTCTGGGTGCCCGTGGACGTGAACGACCTTTTAATGTTGTTATTATTATATTCAAAACAACGTGGGTGAAATTGTGGAACAACAGCCGGATCAGACGTGAGCACATCCAATTGGCACAATCATTGCTTCGCTGCAGCTCAAAGACTCATAACTACCATCCCACCCGCACCGCCGCCGCCACCCTGTGTGAGCTCGGCATTCGAAGGCCGGAATGGGCGACCTCGCCGGACGGAAGTGCTGAGGAAGAAGAAGAATAAGAAGGGAGCATCTTCTTCTTGGTTCTTTCGGTGAAGTCACGTAGAAAGGAAGTAATAAAATAATAAAAATAAAACATAATAAAATACAATTCTCACGACGTTTCGGCCACAACGCAAGCAGCCGTCCTCAGGTGAAGAATGGAACACCACAAAGCTTGGAGCGTATATTTAAGCTGGGTTGGAGGGGGGGGAGGTGGGAAGAAGAATTGTATTTTATTATGTTTTATTTTTATTATTTTATTATTTCCCTTCTACGTGACTTTACCGAAAGAACCAAGAAGATGATTAATAATAAGCAACCCATGTTGTAAAATCACATTGGCACTGAATCTCCGGTGATTTTGATGAGAGAGTCAGCCAGAGGACAAGACACGAAACTGGGCGGTTCCAAATGTTTTCGATCCCAAATTGCGTGCGACGTCTGGGCACTGTGGAAATAGAAGTCTCGCTTTTGAGAATTGTGCACGCGAATGTTTGTTCGGATTGTCTACACAGAGCGCTGTTGTCTGTGCTTGTGCACCACGGCCCACACACAGCAGCTGCTGCAGCTGCTGCAGCTGCTGCAGCTGCAGCAGCTGCAGCAGCAGCAGCAGCAGCAGCTGCAGCAGCAGAAGCAGCAGCAGCAGCAGCGGCAGCAGCAGCAACTGCAGCAGCAGCAGTAGCATCAGCAGCAGCAACAGCTGCAGCAGCAGCAACTGCAGCAGCAGCAGCATCAGCAGCAGCAGCAGCAACAACAGCTGCAGCAGCAGCAGCAGCAACAGGACTGTCGCCCGGTGGGACCTGCGTCACCCACAAGAACCACGACCTCGCTCGGACAGTGGCCTCGCTCACTCTCCCCACCTCTTCCTCCTCCCACCTCTTCCTCCTCCTGCTCCCACCTCTTCCCCTTCCCCTCGCTGTAAACACGCGGCTCCTGGCGGAGACTATTTCTGTCTGTGGCCTCCATCAACACGGAGAACCACGTCCACACAGCCGCTACTAATAACCACGTCAACACAGACACTCTAATAGCCACGTAGCCTCAACATAAAAAAAGAAACAACTCTGATAATGATAATAAAATGCACTGTCCTTTGTTATCATTATCAGAGTTGTTTCTTTTCTTTTTGTTTGCATTTTGACTGCTTGTGTTGTGGTTATTGCAAACATGATGCCTTGTATAAAGGTGTCAGTTTTGTACCAGTTTAAATGGTGAAAACCTACTACTATATTTTGCCACTGGTAAAGGAGATGTCTCATAGTGTAAAGGATAAACCATCATCGCGACAACTCCAGGCCTCCTCGCAGCGGCATCTTGCTGCCCATCAAAGACGGCGGTTGCCGCATCGCGCGGCACTTTCGGATGTGCCGCTTCTGCGGCCGTCTGGAACGTTCTTCCCCTTCCGATATGAGGAAGCCACTGGGAGCTGTGCGCACACTTAAAGCCCAGATTGACAAACTCACTTGTTTGGAGCTATTTTTTGTGATGTTTAGTTTGTTGTCCTTCCCCCGCACCGCCGATGAGCACGTTTGGCTACGTACGGTGCGAAAGAAGTTCAACGTACGTACACACAGAGACCACGAACCTTCCACCTACAGCTCTTGCCGTAGTTCTTCATACGCCGTGGCAGTAATGAAGCACCTCAGTTACCAGCTAACTATTTACTATCTCACAATTAGTTTTTTTTTATTTTAACCAGGTAAGGCCCTCACTGAGCTGTTTAGCTCTCTTTCACAATCGACCTGGCCACAAATGATTTCTCAACGAGGTGGATTATCGCCATCGTGTGGAAAAGTTCAGCAGCCAAAGACTCTACACGTGTGGTGTTGTTGACTCTAAATGTGGAGGGGTAAAAACCGGAGGAGCCGGAGAAAAATCCAAACGACCACGGGGAGAGAGAGAGACACCGCAAACTCCAAATATACAGCAGCAGGCATCAGGGTCGGGATCGAACCCACGACCTCCTGCATACCAGGCGAGGTAGTTAACATCTCCTAGCCACCGTGATGATGATGAGAGAGACACGCAAACTCCAAATATACAGCAGCAGGCGTCAGGGTCGGGATCGAACCCACGAACTCCTGTGCACCAGGCGAGGTAGTTAACATCTCCTAGCCACCGTGATGATAGATGAGAAAGAGAGACACCGCAAACTCCAAATATACAGCAGCAGGCGTCAGGGTCGGGATCAAACCCACCACCTCCTGCGTACCAGGCGAGGTAGTTAACACCTCATAGCCACCGTGGTGATGATGAGAGAGAGAGACACGCAAACTCCAAATATACAGCAGCAGGCGTCAGGGTCGGGATCGAACCCACGACCTCTTGTAGACCAGGCGAGGTAATTAACATCTCCTAGCCACAGTGGCGACGCTTGGGACCCATCGTTCGAGAACTACCTACAGCGCGAGGCAGCTGGGTGAGTCGATTTGTGTGTGTAACTCCATGTTTGTGTATCTAAAGTCCATGTCTGTGTCTATTTGAGTCCATATGTGTGTGTCGGCCAATGTGTGTGTGAGTCTATGTATATGTGTGTGTGAGTCGATGTATGTGCGTGGGTCCATCTGTGTGTGTAATTCCACATGTGTGTGTCTTAGTCGATATGTGTGTGTGTAAGTCCATATGTGTGCTTAGGTCGATGTGTGTGTGAGAGTCTACGTATGTGTGTGTGAGTCGCTGTATGTGTGTACGTCGACTTGTGTGTGTAACTCCATGTGTGTCTCTCTACAGTGGATGTCTGTGTGTGTGTGAGTCAATATATGTGTGTAAGTCGATGTGTTTGTGTGTGTGTCTAAGTCGATGTGTGTGTATCTTTTTCGCCCGGGCAACGCCGGGTACTTCCCGCTAGTCAGGAAATAAAGCGACAAGCGGGCGCAGGTTGGGGGGAGGGGGCCCCGGGGGGAGGGGCCGCAGGGGGAGGGGGCCCCGGGGGGAGGGGCCGCAGGGGGAGGGGGCCCCGGGGGGAGGGGGCCCCGGGGGGGGGGGGGGGTGAGGATCGCTTCGCTCTCCCCCAGCAAGGGAAGTGCTCCAGGCTGCCCCCAAGAATCACGTTTGTGTTTATTTTCATTTCCCCTTTGATTACTTCAATTAAAGCCTGCCCACCGCGTGACCCCGCTCCCACGGGCCTCTTGCCCTCCCCATCTCTACCTCCAGACCTTTAGCCAACCCAAGCTTGGGTGGGAAACAAACGCGATGAGCCACAGTCGGCTCCTGGCGCGACGTTCTTGTGCGTGTCACATGTGACGCGTAAGTCAGGAGGGGACACACAATGGGGCGGGCGGGGCCCACCTGGATAGGGGAAAGGAGCGATTGGAATGATGAAAGCGTGCAGCAAGCAAGGTGTCACTCACACGTGCGTGTGCACAGCTTCCTTTAAATAGGGGCCACCCACCACCTCCACCACCCATCAACACCACCATCCTCCACCACCACCACCCTCCACCACCACCATCCTCCACCACCATCCTCCACCACCACCACCCTCCACCACCACCACCCTCCACCACCACCACCACCATCCTCCACCACCACCACCCATCACCACCACCCTCCACCACCCTCCACCACCACCACCCTCCACCACCACCACCCTCCACCACCACCACCCTCCACCACCACCCTCCACCACCAACCACCAACACCTCCACCACCACCATCTTCCACCCTCCACCACCACCACCCTCCACCACCACCAACACCCTCCACCACTACCTCCACTCCCCACCACCACCCTCCACCACCACCACCCCACTCACACACCACCACCCTCCACCACCACCACCCACCCTCCACCACCACCACCACCCCACCCACACACCACACCACACAATAGTGGAGGGTGAAGCGATGAAGACCCCAGCCACGAGCATCTTTGCTCTCGAGCTCCAGCCAGCAGCAGGGGGGCAAGGGGCGCATCCAGAACGCGTGCAAGCGTCCAGCTGTAAGCAGCAGCTCGGCAGGACTGCGCGGTTAGAGCGCGGGGACATATTACAAACAACTATATATTTTAGTGTTGCACCAGACTCTGCAGTTAACAGTCCCTGTGTGATGAGCTATTTGTGTCGGTGGACACAAGGAGGCTGCCTCTGACGCCACCCCGTGGGGGGAAAGGAGCCAGCAGGCGCCAACTCTCTTCCTCCGCTCTGGCGACGGCGTCAGGCCGGCGTCGTACGATCTCCCGTTCGTTCGATCTCCCGTTCGCTCGATCTCCCGTTCGTTCGATCTCCCGTTCGTTCGATCTCCCGTTCGTTCGATCTCCCGTTCGTTCGATCTCCCGTTCGCACGATCTCCCGTTCGTTCGATCTCCCGTTCGCTCGATCTCCCGTTCGTTCGATCTCCCGTTCGCTCGATCTCCCGTTCGTTCGATCTCCCGTTCGCACGATCCCCCATTCGTTCGATCTCCCATTCGTTCGATCTCCCGTTCGTTCGATCTCCCGTTCGTTCGATCTCCCGTTCGCTCGATCTCCCGTTCGTTCGATCTCCCGTTCGCTCGATCTCCCGTTCGCTCGATTTCCCGTTCGTTCGATCTCCCGTTCGTTCGATCTCCGGCCGTTCAATCTCCCGTTCGTTCGATCTCCCGTTCGTTCGATCTCCCGGCCGTTCGATCTCCCGGCCGTTCGATCTCCCGTTCGTACGTTTCTCCCGAGGGGCGAACGATCCTCTACACGCACGGCAATGCGGTTCTGTGTGACCTTTGGCAGCCACTGGTGTTCACTCACCGTCTCCGGATAAGAGGGGCAGCCGCCCCACCGTTCCCAGCATGCCCTGCGCGGCGCGGGGACCCCCCCCGGCTCCGGCGGCCCCCCCCGCGTGGGGGTTGAACTTGGGCTTGGGGGCCACGGCTGGCGGAGGGGCCTTGCGAGGGCCCGGGCCTGCGGCCGCCTGCTGTGAGCGTGACTCCCACATGTCTACGGTGGGGGAGACACACGCAGCAGAGACACAGGTGAAACACACATACAGTGAAACACAGGTGACACACACACAGTGAGACACACACACACAGTGAGACACAGGTGACACACACACAGTGAGACACACACACACACACAGTGAGACACACACACACAGTGAGACACACACAGAGTGAGACACACACACACAGGTGGCACACACACACCGTGAGACACACACACATGTGACACACACACAAAGTGAGACACACACACACAGAGTGAGACACACACAGAGTGAGACACACACACAGGGTGAGACACACACACAGAGTGAGACACACACACACAGTGAGACACACACACACAGGTGACACACACACAGAGTGAGACACACACACACAGTGAGACACACACACACAGAGTGAGACACACACAGAGTGAGACACACACAGGTGAGACACACACACACAGTGAGACACACACACAGAGTGAGACACACACACACAGTGACACACAGACACACACACACAGAGTGACACACACACACACAGGTGAGACACACACACACAGTGAGACACACACACAGTGAGACACACAACAACAACAACCGCCATTCGCCACTAAGTGGCGGTGACATCACCACGATGCTTGTGCCAGGCCAAGTGCACCTTGAGGCCACGTGAAGTGTCGAAAGCCCGCTGGCAGGAGGTCACGGGGCAGACCCAGGTGCCACGGGTCGACTGACCGAGATGACCGAGATGACTGGCTGATGCACCACCTGTGCCCCCTACTGTGCCAACTTGCTGTGCTTTAGCCACCCGGCGCTCCGCTCGTTGTTGTGAGCGTCGCTCCTCCGCCCTCCGTTGTTGTTGGAGGGCGACTGCCTCCAACTGCCCAGTAGCGTCCTTCACGAGCCTCCTCCACTGAGGCCGATCTTGACACCGCTGGTACCAGTCATCGGCAAGTCCACTCAGCTCCACGTCCTCCTGTACCACATCACTCCATCTCTTCTCCAGCCCGTGCCGCGCCCGTCTAGCCCCCTCGATCCGGCCGAACAAAAGCTGTTTAGGCATGCGGTGGCTGGGCATGCGGGCTACATGACCCAGCCAACGCAGCCTTGCCTGCCGGAGGAGCTCACTGATGGGACTTTGCCCAGATCTTTCAAGGATTTGTGAGCTCCTCACACAATCCAGCCTGGTTAAACCCAGGATGGATCGTAGGCAGGCCAGCCTAAATGTTTCCAACCGGCGAAGATGCTCCACCAGGGGGGTCCACGTCTCGCAAGCGTAGAGAAGGGAGGGAATGACCGTGGCCGAGAAGACCTGAAGCTTCGTGCGGAGCGACAGACCAGGTAGCTTCCACACAGCGTTACGCAACCGATGAAAAGATATTGCCGCTCGACTGATTCGGAGTGAGACCTCTGCTGATAGACTGGAGCCGGTCATAAGCACACTGCCCAGGTATGGGAAACTCTCCACTCTCTCCACAACTGCCCCATCACCAATTGGGAGTTGTGGGGGTGGAGTGTCCGATGGTACAAAATACCCAGGCAGGTGCTTAGTTTTGGTGGGGCTGATGGTAAGGCCCCACCTCTTGGTGGCACGCTCCAGTCTCAGCAGCAGCGTCTCCAACTCCTCTTCTGAATGAGCAGCTATTACCAAATCATCGGCATACATAACGTGGTTGACCAATAGGGAGCCATCCCTTGATCGCACCCGGGCGTCGATCAGCCTCCCATTATATCTGTACCAAATGGAAATTCCTCCGGTACAGCTATTGAAGGCTTCACGAACTACGCGGTCAAAATAGATGTTAAATAATGTGGGAGCCAGAGGACATCCCTGTCGCACCCCAAGGTGTACAGGGAAAGGCTCCGACTCCCGGCCACGTAGTTTTACCCGGGCCCGCTCACCATCATGAAGGTCCTTAATGATCGTGAGCAGAGGGTCAGGGACTCCGAAAGCACGAAGAACAACCCAGAGCCCAGTCCTACTGATGGTATCATAGGCCTTGACCAGGTCAATAAAGCAGAGATGTAGGTCTTTTTGGAATTCCCTACACCTCTGCTGTAGCAGACGGACAGAACATATGGCATCTGTGCAGGACACACACACAGGTGAGACACACACACACAGTGACACACACACAGTGACACACACACAGAGCGAGACACACACAGGTGAGACACACACACAGTGAGACACACAGTGACACACACACACAGGTGACACACACACACAGGTGAGACACAACAACAACAACAACAACAACCGCCATTCGCCACTAAGTGGCGGTGACGTCACCACGATGCTTGTGCCAGGCCAAGTGCACCTTGAGGCCACGTGAAGTGTCGAAAGCCCGCTGGCAGGAGGTCACGGGGCAGACCCAGCAGGTGCCACGGGTCGACTGACCGAGATGACCGAGATGACTGGCTGATGCACCACCTGTGCCCCCTACTGTGCCAACTTGCTGTGCTTTAGCCACCCGGCGCTCCGCTCGTTGTTGTGAGCGTCGCTCCTCCGCCCTCCGTTGTTGTTGGAGGGCGACTGCCTCCAACTGCCCAGTAGCGTCCTTCACGAGCCTCCTCCACTGAGGCCGATCTTGACACCGCTGGTACCAGTCATCGGCAAGTCCACTCAGCTCCACGTCCTCCTGTACCACATCACTCCATCTCTTCTCCAGCCCGTGCCGCGCCCGTCTAGCCCCCTCGATCCGGCCGAACAAAAGCTGTTTAGGCATGCGGTGGCTGGGCATGCGGGCTACATGACCCAGCCAACGCAGCCTTGCCTGCCGGAGGAGCTCACTGATGGGACTTTGCCCAGATCTTTCAAGGATTTGTGAGCTCCTCACACAATCCAGCCTGGTTAAACCCAGGATGGATCGTAGGCAGGCCAGCCTAAATGTTTCCAACCGGCGAAGATGCTCCACCAGGGGGGTCCACGTCTCGCAAGCGTAGAGAAGGGAGGGAATGACCGTGGCCGAGAAGACCTGAAGCTTCGTGCGGAGCGACAGACCAGGTAGCTTCCACACAGCGTTACGCAACCGATGAAAAGATATTGCCGCTCGACTGATTCGGAGTGAGACCTCTGCTGATAGACTGGAGCCGGTCATAAGCACACTGCCCAGGTATGGGAAACTCTCCACTCTCTCCACAACTGCCCCATCACCAATTGGGAGTTGTGGGGGTGGAGTGTCCGATGGTACAAAATACCCAGGCAGGTGCTTAGTTTTGGTGGGGCTGATGGTAAGGCCCCACCTCTTAGTGGCACGCTCCAGTCTCAGCAGCAGCGTCTCCAACTCCTCCTCTGAGTGAGCAGCTATTACCAAATCATCGGCATACATAACGTGGTTGACCAATAGGGAGCCATCCCTTGATCGCACCCGGGCGTCGATCAGCCTCCCATTATATCTGTACCAAATGGAAATTCCCCCGGTACAGCTATTGAAGGCTTCACGAACTACGCGGTCAAAATAGATGTTAAATAATGTGGGAGCCAGAGGACATCCCTGTCGCACCCCAAGGTGTACAGGGAAAGGCTCCGACTCCCGGCCACGTAGTTTTACCCGGGCCCGCTCACCATCATGAAGGTCCTTAATGATCGTGAGCAGAGGGTCAGGGACTCCGAAAGCACGAAGAACAACCCAGAGCCCAGGCCTACTGATGGTATCATAGGCCTTGACCAGGTCAATAAAGCAGAGATGTAGGTCTTTTTGGAATTCCCTACACCTCTGCTGTAGCAGACGGACAGAAAATATGGCATCTGTGCAGGACCGCCCTTTCCTCTCGTGACACACACACAGGTGAGACACACACACAGGTGAGACACACACACAGTGACACACACACACACAGTGACACACACACACACAGGTGAGGCTCAGGTGAGACACCGCCACTTATCAAGAGCGGTTCCCATGCCAGGAGGCCTCCCCCGTGAGGGGTGCGGCAGTGACCGGCCGCGTGGCTTCCTCTCCGCGAGGCGAGGGCGAGAACTCGGCCCACCAGGAGAGGAGTCTCATTCGCAAGGGTGGCCTGGCATCACCACAACGATAGCGGCAAAAGGGCCATCGCCCGAAACGTCGGATATTGTAAAAACGGTTTCCTTTCAAGACCACACACAGTGTTGCGGTGTCGTCGTTGTTACTGCCGGACGTTTTTGAGCGGCTGTTAAAGCCATAAACTAAACCATAAACTTTGTTTATGTCATCAGGTAAGGCCCACTGAGCTGTCTAGATCTTTTTTAGAAGTGACCAGGCCACAAATGATTGCTCAGCGGCTTATCGTCATCATCATCATCGCGTGGAAATGTACAGCAGCCAGATGCTCTCAAGGCGTGAGTCTAAATGTCGAGGGTGAGAAGAGGAGGAGTCGGAGAAAAAGTCCACCTGACCACGAGGAGAGAGAGAGAGAGACCGCAAACTCCAAATATACAGCAGCAGCAGGCGTCAGGGTCGGGATCGAACCCACGACCTCCTGCATACCAGGCGAGGTAGTTAACATCTCTTAGCCACCGTGATGATGATGATGAGAGAGACACGCAAACTCAAAATATTCAGCAGCAGGCATCAGAGTCGGGATCGAACCCACAAACTCCTGTGTACCAGGCGAGGTAGTTAACATCTCCTAGCCACCGTGATGATGATGATGAGAGAGAGAGACACCGCAAACTCCAAATATTCAGCAGCAGGCGTCAGGGTCGGGATCGAACCCACAAACTCCTGTGTACCAGGCGAGGTAGTTAACATCTCCTAGCCACCGTGATGATGATGATGAGAGAGACACGCAAACTCCAAATATTCAGCAGCAGGCGTCAGGGTCGGGATCGAACCCACAACCTCCTGTGTACCAGGCGAGGTAGTTAACATCTCCTAGCCACCGTGATGATGATGATGAGAGAGACACGCAAACTCCAAATATACAGCAGGCGTCAGGGTCGGGATCGAACCCACGACCTCCTGCATACCAGGCGAGGTAGTTAACATCTCCTAGTCACCGTGATGATGATGATGATGAGAGAGAGACACGCAAACTCCAAATATTCAGCAGCAGGCGTCAGGGTCGGGATCGAACCCACAACCTCCTGTGTACCAGGCGAGGTAGTTAACATCTCCTAGCCACCATACCACAGACCACAGGAAATACACTCAGCAAATACAGACTCCTACAGAGCCGTGTGCGTGGCTGTGTGTGTATACACAGATTGTCTGGGTGTGTACACAGAGACAAAGATCCCCCGGATAGCCTAGCGCTCACTGTTGGGGCAAGTGCTGTTAGCGAGCACCTATTAAGGTCTGCACAGCACACTAGAGGGTGGGTGGCCAGCACCACGCCCAGCCGCCTTTGTCTCCCCGGTGGCGACATGTGCGCACAACGCATTACACACCACATGCAACACACACACACATCACGTACAGAACACACGTGACATGGTGGACTTCTTTCGCACCGTACGTAGCCAACCGTGCTACCACAACGTACTGTACAACACTTGAACATGACACACTCCTACAGCCTCACACACACACACATCCAACCGTACAGACTCCACTATTTCCCCACATGCACACCCATATTATATAAACACAAGACAGAGATCCCCCGTGTAGCCATAACAGACTGTTGGGGCAAGTGCTGTTAGCGAGTTGCAGCACCTATGAAGGCCGGGCATTGTGGCACACGAGGGAGTGGGTGGCCAACACCACGCCCGGCCGCCTTTGTCTCCCTAGTGCCGATGTTTACACACCGCACCAGGTACTCATTTGAGGCTGAGTCGACCTAGGGGAGGCCCAGATCAGATAATCGTTACCACCAAGACACACACACACCAACACACACACACAAACACACACATACACACCCCCCAGACATACACAGCTTACAGCACACACTCCAGTCACCACACACCCAACCTAACACACACATACACACCCCAGTCACACACTCAAGACACACACACACACCCCAATCACACAATCAAGACACACACACCAACACATACATACATACACACCCCAATCACACACTCAAGACACACACACACACCAAACACACACACATACACATCCCAATCACACACTCAAGACACACACACACCAATCACACACACATACACACCACAACCACAAACTCAAGACACACACACACCAACACACACACCAACACACACGCACACCAACACACACGCACACCAACACATACTACCCACACACCCCAATCAAACACTCAAGACACACACACCAACACACACACATACACACACCCACACACCCACACACACATACACCCCAATGACACACTCAAGACACGCATACCAACACTATACAAAGATCCCCCATGTAGCCTCTAACAGACTGTTGGGACAAGTGCTGTTAGCGAGCACCTATGAAGGCCGGCACGGCACACGAGGGGGTGGGTGGCCAGCACCACACCCGACCGCCTTTGTCTCCCCAGTGACGATGATTACACACCGCGCTAGGTACTGACTTTGAGGCTGAGTCGACCTAGGGGAGGCTCAGGACCGGTTCGGACAATCGTCACTGATGTTAGCCGTGAGCGGAAATCGAACTCAGGTCGCCGGGTTCGTAGCGCAGCACGCGAACTGCTACACCACCCAGACACACACTCACACAGACACACACACCCCGAAACACACACAGACACACACTCACACAGACACACACACCCCGAAACACACACAGACACACACTCACACAGATACACACTCACACACCCCGACACACACCCAGACACACACTCACGCAGACACACACACCAACACACTCACACAGACACACACTCACACACCCCGACACTCACACAGACACACACTCACACACCCCGACACACACACACACTCACACACCAACACACTCGAACAGATACACACACACACAGAAACACACTCACACACCCCGACACACACTCACACGCCCCGACACATACACACAGATACACACAGATACACACACTAACACCCCGACACACCAACACACTCACAGTCACACTCACATAAATACACACACACCCCGACACACACACACCCCGACACACACTCACACACCCCTACATACCAACACACTCGCACACCCCGACACACACTCACACACCCCGACACACCAACACACTGACAGTCACACTCACATAAATACACACACACCCCGACACACACACCCCGACACACAAACCCCGACACACACACACACCCCGACACACACACACACCCCGACACACCAACACACTCACAGTCACACTCACATAAATACACACACACCCCGACACACACACCCCGACACACACTCGCACACCCCGACACACACTCACACACCCCGACACACCAACACACTCACAGTCACACTCACATAAATACACACACACACTCACACACCCCGACACACCAACTTCTACACACATCTAACACATGCATACTGTACATACACTCACACAACCCCACCCAGACACACACCCACCCACACTCACATTCCAACACACGAAGGACACATACACACACCCCGACACACACACACGCACACCCCGACACACACACCCCGACTCGCACACAATCACTCACCCCCTCTCCCAACTCGCACGCCGCTTCCACTTAGCATCAAGGGGGAGAGGAGCTCGCAAACTCTGAACACTCGGCAGAGTCCTTCACGATCCACTCCTCCCTCCGGCTTCCTCCTCTCCACGAAACATCCCCCCACATCCCCCCCCACACATCCCCCCCACATCCCTCACCCCCCCCACATCCCCCCCCCACGTCCGCCCCTACCTCTCCCCCCCCCTGCCCGCTGCTCTCTCCCCTATGCCCTAATATGGCGCTATCGGGCAGCCTTCTTCATCAGCCGTTTCCCGTCTCGCGCTTATTCCATTTGGCGTGGGGCTGTTCCCTTCACCGCCTGCCTGGCTCGCCACGGCTGAGGTGGGGTGCGGGGGGGCGGCTTCCGTAAGAACAGTTACGGGCAGTGCCCGACTCACGAACAGCCGAACATACGAACACCTGGGCTTACGAACACCCATACATACGAACACCCAACATACGAACACCCGGGCTTACGAACACTCGTACATACGAACACCCAACATACGAACACCCGGGCTTACAAACACCCGGGCTTACGAACACTCGTACATACGAACACCCAACATACGAACACCTGGGCTTACGAACACTCGTACATACGAACACCCAACATACGAACACCCGGGCTTACAGACACGCGCGCTTACGAACATCCGACACACGAACACTCGTACATACGAACGCCCAACATACGAACACCCGGGCTTATGAACACTCTTACATACGAACACTCGTACATACGAACACCCAACATACAAACACCCAACATACGAACACCCGGGCTTACGAATACTCGCACATACGAACACTCGTACATACGAACACCCGACATACAAACACTCGTACATACGAACACCCGACTTACGAACACCCAACATACGAACACCCAACATACGAACACCCACACTTACGAACACACGTACTTACGAACCAGCTTCCATGCCCCCAACAGCCTATTAGTAAATGCTACTTAAAATGTATTTATATTCTTTTTATGCGGAGTGTCTGCTGCTCATGTGCCCTGTACAGCGCTATGAGATCCTTGATTAAAGGCGACATATACATGTAGGTATTGCTAGTATACTGGGGATCGTTGTCGTTGGGGTGTGTGTGTTTGTCTTTGTGTGTGTGCATGCGCGTGTGGTACCGTGTGTGTGGCTGTGCGTGCGCGTGTGTGTGCGCGCGTGTGTGTGTGCACGTGTTTGTGTGTATGTGTGTGTATGTGTGTGTGCGGCTGTGTGTGTGCGGCTGTGCGTGCGCGGCTGTGCGTGCGTGTGGCTGTGCGTGTGTGTGGTTGTGTGTGTGTGTGGCTGTGTGTGTGTGTGGTTGTGTGTGTGTGTGTGGCTGTGTGTGTGTGTGCACGCGTGCTACCGTGCGTGTTTGCAATTGTGGCGTCTCAATTCCCGCTCACGGCCAACGCCGGTGACGATTATCTGAACCCGTCCCGGGCATCCCCTAGGTCGACTCTGCCTCAAATTAGTACCTGGTGCGGTGTGTGAACATCGCCACTGGGGAGACAAAGGCGGCCGGGCGTGGTGCTGGCCACCCACCCCTTCGTGTGCCGTGCCGACCTTCATAGGTGCTCGCTAACAGCACTTGCCCCGACAGTCTGTTCAGGCTACACGGGGGATCTTTGTCTTTGTGTCTCATTATCCCTTTTCCGACAAGCAAGCCAGCATCAGGACTCAAGGTAGGTGTTTAAGAGTGTTACACGCAAATCTACAACACTTCTTCTTAACTATGAGTTTACCAACGTTTCCACGTTTGTTGAACCGCATCGCATTTCATTTACGCTCAGCGTATGGGCATTTAAATACAGCCCATTGGCGTGTTCCGACTTACGGACCGTTCGACTTACGAACGGTTCTCAGGAAATAATTCGGTAAGGAAGCTGAGATCTGCCCGTGCTTGTCTCAGCGGCAGGCATTGCTCGTGTTTGACCAGCCAGGGAGGGGACTCGGGTGAGGGTCTCATTGAGCAGAGGGCGTCACGTGGAGTCCAATATACACCCAGAGCAGAGACAGACAGACAGACATCACAGCAGAGACAGGACAGACAGACATCGCAGCAGAGACAGACAGACAGACTCGCAGCAGAGACAGACAGACAGACATCACAGCAGAGGACAGCCAGACAGATTATCGCAGCAGAGACAGACAGACAGACATCACAGCAGAGACAGACAGACAGACATCGCAGCAGAGACAGACAGACAGGACCATCGCAGCAGAGACAGTACAGACAGACATCACAGCAGAGACAGCCAGACAGACATCACAGCAGAGGACAGACAGACAGACATCGCAGCAGAGACAGACAGACAGACATCGCAGCAGGAAGACAGACAGCAGACATCGCAGCAGAGACAGACAGACAGACATCGCAGCAGAGACAGACAGACAGACATCGCAGCAGAGACAAGACAGACAGAAAATCGCAGCAGAGGACAGGAACAAGGAACAGACATCACAGCAGAGACAGACAGACAGACATCGCAGCAGAGACAGACAGACCGACATCGCAGCAGAGACAGACAGACAGACATCACAGCAGAGACAGACAGACAGACATCGCAGCAGAGACAGACAGACAGACATCGCAGCAGAGACAGACAGACAGACATCACAGCAGAGACAGACAGACAGACATCGCAGCAGAGACAGACAGACAGACATCGCAGCAGAGACAGACAGACAGACATCACAGCAGAGACAGCCAGACAGATATCGCAGCAGAGACAGACAGACAGACATCACAGCAGAGACAGACAGACAGACATCGCAGCAGAGACAGACAGACAGACATCGCAGCAGAGACAGACAGACAGACATCACAGCAGAGACAGCCAGACATCGCAGCAGACAGACAGACATCGCAGCAGAGACAGACAGACAGACATCGCAGCAGAGACAGACAGACAGACATCACAGCAGAGACAGCCAGACAGATATCGCAGCAGAGACAGACAGACAGACATCACAGCAGAGACAGACAGACAGACATCGCAGCAGAGACAGACAGACAGACATCGTAGCAGAGACAGACAGACAGACATCACAGCAGAGACAGCCAGACAGACATCGCAGCAGAGACAGACAGACATCGCAGCAGAGACAGACAGACAGACATCGCAGCAGAGACAGACAGACAGACATCGCAGCAGAGACAGACAGACATCACAGCAGAGACAGACAGACAGACATCGCAGCAGAGACAGACAGACATCGCAGCAGAGACAGACAGACAGACATCGCAGCAGAGACAGACAGACAGACATCGCAGCAGAGACAGACAGACAGACATCACAGCAGAGACAGACAGACATCACAGCAGAGACAGACAGACAGACAGCACAGCAGAGACAGACAGACAGACATCACAGCGGAGACAGACAGACAGACATCGCAGCAGAGACAGACAGACAGACATCGCAGCAGAGACAGACAGACAGACATCACAGCAGAGCAGACAGACATCTCACAGCGGAGACAGACAGACAGACATCGCAGCAGAAACAACCGCTTTGCGGGAGGAATTGAGCAATGCAACACAGACATAAATTAATGTTGGATTGAAAACATATATAATGAATCAATGTTCTGTAGCGAAACTTGGCCCGGACAAATTGCTGCTGAACTCGGGGGGTGGGCAGTGAGCGAGTGCCGCCCGCCTCGTCAACACGGACTGGGATTGCGAAGCGCTTCCACCGGTCAAAGTTCATTTATTAGGTATAGCCCTATGAGCCATTCGGCTCTTGAATCGGGTGCAACCGCAACAAACAGAAAACAAAACATGAACAAGAGAACATCTTAAAGTGACTATGTGACTAAGTGCAAACAGAAAATCCAAGAAAAGACAGCAAATATTGCAGAAATAAATCACCGTACACCAACGCTGTGTGCAAATATCCCAGTGGGATGCAAGTCAAACAACAACAACCACAAGACAACTTAGATTAAGGCCATCAGTCTAACTCTGTACTACAACAAACAAACATGGCCAAAACAAAAAACTTTTCGAAAATCACCAAAATAAAGCCATAAAAGCAATGAAACAGTGCAGGTCATAGGAACTGTGACCGAATTTTCACAAAAAACGACGTAAACAACATGTACCACCAAACTCTGCAGCCATAGCTGGCTGCATGAGTCACTCCACAACAGCAGGAGCATCAGTCGGAGTATCATAGCGGTCGTTATTACACTTCTACTGCAGCCTCGAAACCCCCCTTTGGGGCCGTCCATAAATGACGTCACGCACCTAGGGGGGGGGGGCGGGGTCAGACATTTGTGACGATGTGTAACGAAGGGGGGTGTTTGTGGAAATGTGACGTCACATCAAAATGCGCAACTTTAAATAAATATAGACAACACGTTCTACTTAATTAAATAGACTTTTGATAAATGTTTTCTCCTACAACATCAGAGTGCAGCGCCACATTAAATACGCACTACGATGACAATTGTTTAAAGCGATTTGAAGCATGTTAAAACAAAATTGGGAGGGGGGGGGGGCAGAGCTTTGTGACGTCATATTTGAGGGGGGGGTCTGACTTTTTGTGACGCTGTGTGACGAGGGGGGGGGGGGTGAAAAATCGTCCAAAAAATCGCGTGACGTCATTTATGGACGGCCCCTTTTTCGCTTTTGTAAACAACGACAAATATGTCGTTAATACCAACGACGACATCGGGGTTGATGAAACAAAGTTGTAACTTACGTGCCCGTGCTGAATTTGTTGCGTTTCGACGATTCACATTCGAAACTAAAATCTGTCCGTGTCTCGCACCTCCCCCCCCCCC